AATGATATTTTAATTTTATTTTATTTAATAGTATAACTGTAACAAAAACTATTAAATAAAGACACTATTTGCATTTTGGGAACCTATTAATTCCCGATATTAAAAAATCCTAATAATAGTGTACAAGTTTATTATTTTTAAATCTATGACCATCAAAAGGTGCCTACAGCTAGCGTTTATGGCGAAATATTGATCTCACTACAGTATATACGCTCATACGTAACAGAGCTTATAATAAATTGGTCTGAATCTAAGGTAGGTTTAGATTACGACACAAATTGCGACATAAATGTTAAGATAAGTTTTCTATACTGTTTGTATTTTTATGATGATTTTAGCGTCTTATTATTAGTGTCTGTACATAAAAGTCATCGATCAAAAAGTACTAAATACACAATAAGCGTCAAAAAAATGCCCTCACCGAATGAGCGCTCGCTTGAACATTTGAGCGCGCTTTCAATTTAGTAGCGTACGAACGCTCCGACGGAAAACATGCCTCGGTGCTCGTTTATAAATTGCAAAAGTCACACATCTAGGACGTTAAAAAGGAATGGATTTATATTTTCGGTAAGTATCAATATTATCATTATATATTATTGTTATTACTATATTCTAAATTTCTGATATTTTGTCAAGAAATAATCGTAAACCAGTTTTTAATTAAGTATTTTTTAAAGGGTGTGCCGAAAGGCTTGGTGGTAATTTTTTTGTGAAAACAACTTTAAGCTTTGTATTTTAGGTTCAAATTACATTGTTGTATATTTATTTCAACTAGAACAATTACCTAAACACAATTGGTGACAGTTATCAGATAACTTTTACATATGATTGTGTATCTAGTACTTTTTTGATTGATGATAAATGTACGAAAATTGTACCCGAACTGTCCACACTCCTTACTCCGCGTGAAACTCATTTTTAAGTACTATCTTCTACACGGTGCGGTGCATTAAAAATTCCGAGCCAGTTCGAAACCTTTCAATTACACCAGACACTCGGACCCAACGTGTTCCCACAGCCGCTGACACCACACAAATTATCGTGTCGCAATCACAATTAGACTTACACTCGCATTCATAAAGACACTCGGTGTATACACTAAGTGTACAGTGTATAGCGTCTTAATCTAAACCGGCCTTAGAGAAGTTTAATGATCGTACAAAATACCTAATTTTAACAGTTTGACATACAGACCTACATTTCCAGATGGATACGTCAATTTATATGTTAAAAGCTAATAACAGCTGTACGATGGTAGAGAAAGATTGGGTTTTTAAAAAGAAAAAAAAAATACATAGGTATATTATATCTTTCACAGATATCAGAGATCTTAGGTTTTAAATTTTTATTTTTAGCTTTATTATATTTAAAAAAGATTGGTAATATTCAATTAAATTAATAATAATAATGTGTAGAAATCACTTCATGTAAGCCGTTTGAAAAATTTCATTTCCCAACGACCTGCCTGTACGTTAGTACAAAATTATAGTATAAATATTAAACTTGAAGGAAACCAACGAAAAAAATAAGGATTTCGAAATAAAATTTATATATTCTAAAATTAATAACCTCAAAACTTATACGAGCAAATATGCAATATTTTAATTTTTAAATTAGAATTATTTAGACAAAAAAAAAACGAGAAAAAAAATGTATTTATACATAATAATATGGTTGAGAAAATAAAGAGGTCTTTTTTTTTAATCTGTTCCAAACCCAATCTTTCTTTCCATAAAGTCTAATGTAAGGCTTTTCTATATTGCTTAAGGCAATGTTGGTATATGGTGTTATTTGTTATTGAGAAGGGGAAAATTAACAAATGGTGGGGGGTTAGTGGGGGTAGGGGGTTCCCTATAAGCACACATAATTTTTTTTAATTCCCTAACTCTCTAAAACTATATCTAATATAAATTCTACTTAACCAAAGGTTTAACGAACCCTAAAACAACTTATTTTAAAACTCTTCTACTTCTGTCATGAATTAAAAAAAAACTTTTTTTTTTTAATTTTAAAAATTACTGAACAACGTAAGTACGTCATATAATAATTGTTTATATACAAAAAGTTATTTTTTTAAATAACTATACCTAACTTATAAGTAAAAAAAATTTAATGAATATAATTTAGATGTTATTTATCTATACATAATATATATAAATAAATGAATAATAAATCAGCCCTTTTAGCGTCCCACAGCTGGGCATGGACCTCCCTACAACATCATGACCAGGTCTTAATCAATGTCTTTTGGAAACTTGCTAGGTTCTCTCAGGCATGTAGGTTTCCTCACGATGTTTTCATTCACCGTATGACAAGTGGTGGCACATGAAAATATCAGAGGTGCTAAACCCAATTTCGAACCTGTTGCACTTGCCTTTCCAAGCGAGCGCATCACCTACACAACTCAGCACAAACTCTTATCTATACAATAGAAAAAATCTAATAAAATCGGTCTCAGCATTTTTTGCGTTTTTTGTACAAAAAAACTCCAATACATAACTACTTTAAACTCCTAACACTGTAACATCTACTTTTTTTTAATTTTTATAAACGAATCATTACAAACATACGCTTCAAACTAAATATCACGACGTAAAACCCTCATCAACTTAATCTAAAAAAAAATATAACACTAATTGAACCCCCTACCATCCCCTAAAAAGGTAGTGCTAGGTGTCAAATGATTTAGAGAGAAGCAATAGTACAGATAGAAAAAAAATGAAGGAAGAAAGGTATAGATAAAGATAAAAGATGTTAGGCGATGACATGTAACGGGCGGGTGGAAACAATGCTTTTTAAATTCCTCAATTATTCAATTCAATTTTGGTTTCAAAGCTCCTCAATTATTGTGGCTATGATTCGTGTAAAAAAACGTGTGTGTGTGTGTACTTGTGTACGCACGTAAAAAGTTATACTTCTTTGGCGTAACAGAACAAAAATAGCTAAAGATTTCATCCCGTATGTCATAGCTCTCTGTTTGTGAAAGGAATGCAGCTAACTTCATCATGTCTCGTTTTGGCTGTCGGTGTACGCGCGCATCGTAAAAATCTTACTCTCATATCTTTTTTCAAACGTGCCAAAAGAAGTATAAATTAGAAAAAAGTTGTCAGTCACGGGACGCCCGGCAGATGTGAAACATCTATGTTAATATTAGAATTCATAATTTCGTTACGTTAATAAAATCAATTTATTTCTCTTATTATTTTAATTATAATAATAATTAAAGATTAAACTATATGTGCGCGAACACGCTAAGGAGTCAATAGCGATGGCGTAGAACAGGCATGATGGTATGACAGTCTATATTCGTCACGACACCGTTTGCTGTAATAACATGAGTCGGTCTTACTGCCAAGACGCGCCTATAGATGTTTCACATCGAAAAAGAATCCTATAAAACTTTATTTTCCCTTTCTTATTCACACAATTGAAATATATAATACACATGATAAGAAAAAAATATTTAAATCAGAACGATGGATTAAGTACGTTTGCCACAACAAATAATATGTTAGCGATTAATGGCATTATCAAAAAATAAAATAAACAAAATGAAAAAGGAATATCTCGATTTTTCCTATTGATAAAATATAGAAAAAAAAAACAACAAAACAATCTCTTACCAACAAGGTAAAATCAAATAAATGAGCGTAAAAAACGCCGCGTTCCACCCGCCCGTACACCGTCCTAAACTGTTCAGTCTAAAATTATCCATGCAAGCATATATCTTAGTATCTATAGTTATCGATTCTACGGTTATCGAGTTGCGTAATCGATTTAGTAGTCGTCGAGGTCGACGTCGTCCAGCGGTTCGTCTAGCTGAAGCGATTGAAAGTCCACCTTGTAACGTAATATACCTAATCGATTTACAATCGATATTCGACAAAATCGATTATTATATCGATTAATCGTGATTTTACGATTATGATTTATTCGAAATTAGATAATTTATTCGATTAAATGATTGATATCGATATGTTATGAATGTTTGATTATGTTAATCGATGTTTCGTATCCAACGGCATCCGAGCAGCAAGAAAAGGAGAAAGAGAAAATTAGTATAGTTTATTTTCAATTTAAAGTGCGCTGGGAAGCTTTTGGATTTCTTTTTTTTTAGAAACACACTTGCCAATAGATTCGAAAGTTTAATATTAAATAAAATATATAAAGAAATACCGTGAATTACCATATATCGTTGCTGAAATATATATTAATAAAAAGCGTAAAATGGAACGTATTGACAAAAATACAGGCAACACCTGATTAATTATTTACATCTGCCTAACAAACCATAGATTATAAAATCAATAAATTATATCGTAGATATAAACATATGTATTTAATTACCAAAACACATAATTACCAAAAAAAACTCACTATACATTTACGCAGTCTGCATCATCCAGATTAAAAAAAAAATCAAACGTCATAATGACATATATCAAATCATATTAATAAGGATATTTTTAATCTGTATCCGAATATATATAAACTATATACACAATATATACATTGCAAGGTCCTTTCAATACAATTATAGCGTATATCCTAGCAAATACGGGGCAAGTGTGTCCTAACTCCCAGCACACCTCTAGCTTACATAACTCACTGAAAGATACCATAAAAGTAAAAAAAATATATTTTTTTTAAACAGTACATTTTCTGTTTGTATTGAAAAGAAACAACAAAAAAACACAGATTTTTTTATGCTATCTTTCATTTATAAAACATAGGTTGTTAATAATTACAGAGCTAGTATATGTTTAATATAATATGTGTATAAATACTTAAATAAATAAAATATTGATGAACATGATGTTCACTTTTATAAATACAAAAATGTTTATACAATACAAAATATTTCAAATGAATTACGCAAAAATAATTAACGGATGACACCCGTTAAAAAGGGGGTAAGTTCAGACTTACCCCCTTTTTTCAGATAAATCCTAGCTTTTTATGGGTGAAGGGTAAAAACGAATAAAAAAAACCAAACTCACCGCCAATCCCACCAAAACCGCGTACAAACTGGCTGCCCTCTTGACTCTTATCCGTAATGATCTCCAATGTAGCTCCGAAAGACTTATAGTTGTTAGCGAGCCATTCTAAAAGCGGTTGACATTCCACCAATTCGAGCTCCACCCCACTCTGTGCATACACAATCATATTTAATTATTACAAAAAAACAATAATAAAGACACACAAATTGGCGCCTAAAATGGCCATTCTGATTTTTAATAATATCCATAATATTATCCTATGACACCTGCGTTTTCAAGACCAGTCCAACGACGTATGCATCATCCAAATAGGTTTAGCCGTTTAGTAATTACGAGGGAATGTAAGATCGAACATACAAACACACATATAGGTCAAACACATAATCCTCCTTTGGACTTCGCCGCAGTCGGCTAAAAATAATTAATTTTTAACTAAAAAAGTCATTATTTCACCTTCATGGATGAAATTATATCTTTAAGAGATAGATTATCTTTTAGAATAGAACATAGGTTACTTTTTATCCTGGAAAAATTTACGGATCCAGTGTTCCCGTGGGATGGATTACTTTTTGTTTTTCACTAGTATTATTATAATATATAAAAGAAATATAATGCAAATAAAACTTACTTCTTTATCTGTGAAATGTGACTTGTCCTTTTCTTGCTCGGGAGTGAGATGCAAAATAGTTTCTTGGTTGGTTGCGTGAGATTTAAGGACATATCTAGAATAAATAAAAAAACATTTTTAATATATTTAGTTTTGCATACTACTTTTTTAAGATTAACTTAAATATTTGACATTTTAAGCAACCTTTTTTTCGGATTTTCTTGCGTTTTTTTAAAGTTTTTTTTTCGTTTTTTCTTGCGGTTTTATTATGTTTTTTTTTTAGAATTTCTTCGACGTTTTATTTTGATAAAGACATATAGACAAAGACTAAGACGTATAGACAAGGCCGCGGTCAAACACTAGTAAAAATAATTTTTATATAATAAAAATCAAATTTACCTTTGAATATCAAGATTTTCCCAACAAATGAGTGTTTCAACTGCACCAAGCTCGAGAGCGCGAAGAGTGTCGTCCACACCGAAGCAGTACTTGCCAGTGTCCTGGAATTATATACGTCAAACATAAAAATAATAAATAAATATTTTGGGACATTAACACATAGCACCATCTAGTTCCATGGTAAGCTACGAGGGCTGTGTTATGGATAAAAGGTAGTTGATACACTACACATATATAACTTTAAATACATACATATTATTAATATAAAAACACCCATGACTGGAATACAAACATTCGTGCTCGTCACACAAATAAAAGACCACAGCGGGACTCGAACTAGCGACCGCTGGCACAGCAAGTAGCGTCACTACAAACTGAGCCAAACTTGTCGTCTACATATAATACTATAGTAAGAATTCTATTTTATATTTTTTATTGGTTACTTGTTTTGTTTATTGTATCTGTCACATAAATAAAGATTTGATATTTTCATGTGCGAATCATTCCCAACATGATTACCACTTGTCTTACGATGAAGGAAAACATTGTGAGGAAACCTGCACGTCTGAGAAAAACTATGAAGTCATTGAAAAGACATGCTCAGAGCGCTAACTCGTACTTTGCCAGCGCCTAATCCTACTCGTATTGAAGGGCCGTGCCCAGCAGTGGGACGTTAAAAAGGGCAGAATAAAAACTAAAACTCACTTCCTTCCTTAAAGATGGACTATATCTTTTTAAATGTATGTTCCTGATGATGCAAAATATAAAAATCGTTCCATAATCACACAAAGATATAGAGTAACACACAGACACACCAATAATACAGTCATATGGAGTACTTCTTTCTTTTTAAGTCGGTCAAAAATTAATTCTTTCCCGCAGCTTCTATAACATTATATTTGCCCCGAGAATTGATTAAAAGTGACTTATATTTTAGTTCATAATACAAACTATATTTACTTCGCGTTTCACTCAAATCGATTAGGTCGTGAAGAACTAACAGACACTATAACTTTTGTAGTTTTTTATAATAATCCATACCGATATTATACATGCAAATGTAACTCTGTCTGTCTGTTACCTTGTCTAGTTTAATCCCCTAAACCGATTTATTACATGCTTTTATTTTTTAGTTTCACCTTTCATGGTGTCTGTAATCAAATCTTGCAAGTGTCCGATTGAGCTGAAATTTGCCACACACACATTTGGTTCTCATGACTGCACGATTACCTAAATGCCGCCATTTTGTATCCAACATGGCGGACGTTACAAAATGGTGATTTGACATTTCTATAGTGACCCAGGACCCTTATGATATGAGCATTAAATGGAAGGGCTTAATGAGCGAAACAACAAGCAAAGTGACGTCATTATAATATGGCGGATTCACAAAGATGGCGGACTATATTTTTTTATGCGCTCCATAATATGGATATCAAATTAAAGTGTTTGCTAAAAAGAATACGAATAAAATAAAAAACTAAAAATAAATTAATAGCAAAAAAAAAACATTTTAATAAAACTTTAAATTAAATCAGAGCCATCAATTTACTACATTACAAAATTTATATAATATAAAAACTTGTCGCTCGATTTCGATCAATTGTACATTTTATTTATATTCTGTGCAATTTTGAAAAAAAAAACAGGAATGAGAATGACAATTAAAATGATAAAGAAAATGTATACCTGTGAGATTTCATCAAAATATCTGCCGATGAGCTTCTTCTCTTGTATGAACTTGACATTCTGCAGCGACTCGGCCGCCAGCTCGATCGCTTGGTTGAACCCGTTCTCACCGCCGTACGAGACGTCCACCAACTTTATGATTTTAGATTGAAGACGCTGGAACAAACATACATAATATGAATATAAGACTACAATTATTTACTTTTATATTTATCAAATAAACTCAATTATGTTTCTCTGAAAAGATATTTATTTTATTAGTTACTACTACATATTATTATTAACCTTTTGTGATATATGACACTATATGAAATTCACACAAACACACAAACATACACAGAGGCACACGCACGCATGTACGCTTACACACACGCACGCAAATATACACACACACACACACAAAAGAAAAAAAAAAGACTCGCAAACTGCATTTAATATGTACCCATACTATTCTCCTCTCTGTAACACTTTCTTATATTACACATTATTCTTGTATTTTACAGTGGAGTTTTTTCTTCTATTTTAAAAACAAATACTTAAATATATTATATTAATAAAATACTTTTTTTTTTCGGGTTTATTAAAATAAAATGTGTATTTTATACAACAACATTTAAAATCAATAATTCTGTGTTAAAAACTTATTCGGTAAATTAAATATTAAAAATAAATATATTGGGATAAATTAACACACAGCACCATCTATGTGCCGGATGGTGATTACATCAGCAATATTTATTTATTTAAAATAATGAATTAAAATTTGAGATATAATGCTTACGTAAGCGTAGGAGGGGAGAGAAGAGCTTTTATTACATTTTTTTAATTAGAAATGGGCTTACTGTTGACCTTCATCTAAGGTCTATGAACTAGCGAGTTTGCCCAGGAAAAGCCTGTTAACACGCACCTTAGAGGAACACACTTTTGCTTATAAGGGTGAGGGAGGGTTTAATAATTACTATAATTCTATTTACGTAATACTCGAATGACCCCTAACTTAACAAAAAAAAAATTTAAAACCCACCCGATCAAACCAATAATATATTCAACCAAAATAGCTCAATCCCGAAATACGCGTTAAATCAAGCAAAAAAAAATTAAAAAAAAAACAGACCCACCAGACCGAACATATCCAAGTAAGACAACTCAGTCGTGAAGTGGACTAGTGGCGAAGGGTTCATATAAGACGATTCCCACCGTCTTACCTTTTAGATAAATAATTAGAAATTAAACAATTCATATAATAACTAAATTATTACAAAACTTACATTTTGTTTCAAAAATATATTTATTAACGTTCAATATATAGATTTCTCAGAGATGAGATATTTTCCGGCAGTAAAAACTATCCTATATGTTGACCCGGATAACCAGCTATCATTATATCAAATTTCATCAAAATCTATCCAGATTGTTTGTTTCTCCAGAGGCGAACCCGAGCGAAGCGAGGGTGAGCCGCTAGTTATTGATATATCAATTCGCTGTTTATTTACAAGTAAATTTTTTTTTTTTTATGTTACACACATTAAAAAAGTCTTATTATGCAAAAAAAACCCCAAACACAAATCGTCCAATTAATTTATATTCAATCACAATTCCTTTTCAAGTTTTTTGTCTGTTTTATTACCTTAGAAATTTACCCTTCGCCACTGAAGTACACATAATAATTTATATAACTTTACAGTTCACTACCTTCATTCCAACCAACCACAATGTCTTGCCTAACACTTACATAACACTTCGACAGACCCACAAAACAGATATCAATTAACGCGATTCTTTCTAATCTTATTCAGTCAATTCTTGTATCAAACATATCTTACTTATATACTTGATATACTTAACAATATCTATACGGCAAATCTATATCTAACATTATAACTCAAAAATCAACCGTAATATTTTTTTTAAACTTTTAAAAATAAAATGAAACAGACTTCAAAAAAAAAACACTAAAAAGTAAAAAAATATACATTTCGAATTGAGAACCTTCTTTTTTTTCGTCGGTTAAGAAATAACTGATTGGTAGTTTTCATTTACTATAGGAACCTAATCCGATATTCACGAAATCGGTGCCAGCCAATACAAAGCAAAGCACACCGATTTCGACGCAAATATAAAAAAAAGTAGATCTGTGCGAGCAACTCGCACACGGTAGAAGTGAAACTTCGAGAGACTTGACTAAAAAAAAAACTCACCGGATCGAACATGTCCGACTGGGACAGCTCAGTTTTGAAGTCGGCGGAACCGGCCAGGATGAGGCCGGCCACGTTGGGCCTGTCCGCGCTGATGAACAGCTGCGTGGCCACCTCGGCCACCTTGCGCACGTAGTTGTGACGCTTCTCCATACGGAGACGTGCGAAACGCAACGCCGACTGACCACCTCGACCATGCTTCTTGGGCAGGTCCACCGTGAATTTGTGGAGCACCTGTAAAATATTTACATTCAAATATAAAAGAATATAATAAATACTTTAATATTTATATGTATGTTAATATTAGATATCTATACATATAATAAAATTGTAACTAAGTCGAATCTGTACATTAAATATTTTTTGGAAAATCTAATTGAAATATGTATACATTATTATCGATACAGAATCCGAATCCATAGTTTTTAGAATTTTTGTCTGTCTGTCTGTCTGTTACCGCATCACGAGAAAACCACTGGACAGGTTTTGATGAAATTTGGTAAGACGATAGCTGGTTTATCCGGGTCAACATATAGGATTGTAAGAGTAACTGCGTTGTAAGAGTATATTAATATGTAAAACCTAAGAATTTGGTTTTTGGTCATCTGAACGCGGGCGGAGCCGCGGGCAATGATAGTTATAAATGAAATCATTTTCATGGGTTTTAATTTTATTCAGCGAAATCAGAACTCTTTTTCTAGAATTGCTCAGATTTTGAAAAAAAAAATCAAACTGACAAAGACATTCGATGACATTTCGATTTAGGTAACTACAAATTTACGGTATTCTGATGTTTCCCATAAATGATGCTCTAAAACATATTTTCTTGCCAAATTTCATGATTCTATGTCAACGAGAAGTACCCTAGGATTAGATTCCCTCGCGAATGTCAAAATATGCGACATAAACGGTCATATTTTACGATTGCGTTGATTTAGAATATCGATTTATTCACAGCTTCAAGTTATTGCGGGGATCTGAGTATTTGACATTAATTTCAAATCGACACCTCCCATAACTTCCTTAGAAAAATGAAAAAGAATCTTGACAGACAGACAAATGTCCAACAAAGAGATCCTATAAAGGTTCCATTACCTTTTGGACGTACGGAACCCTATAAAAAAAATAATAAAAAAAACCCCTCACCTCACGAGTATTTCCCTGCAGCGTACCAAACAGCGCGCCGTTACCGTCCATCACTATGAAACCGAACTTGTTATCATCTGCCAGGAGAGCGGTGAGAGCTTCCGTGTGGAACTTGTTATCGCACAGATATAACGATGTGTTTATCGGTTTGAACGGTTCAAAATCGATGTTAACTTTCTTTTCTTTGCCTTCCTCTGTGACGATCGTACCGCAGTATATTACCAGGCCGTTTGGTGGCACTGCGAACAAAGGAAGCAAATAAGTTATATAGGGTCATTTTTAATTTACTAAAAACCTTTTGGGAATACACTATTTACATCATAACAACATCTGTAAGAAAAAAAATACATAATATATCTTAAATTTAACAAAAATAAAAATATTTTTATCGCACCTTCTAAACGGTAATAGTCCAGCATTAGCAAAAGAAAGTGCGTGTCCGGTGGAGGGGGAGGGGTGAAGGGGTGTAGGAAGCCGCGTTTACTCATTTAAACTTGGCCAGATGCTAAAACTTTAAAGTTTAGAAGGTGCAAAAAAAAATATTTTTATTTTTGTATGAAAATAAAAATTTAAGATATATTATTTTTTCTTGTTACAGATGTAAATAGTATATTCGCAAAAGGTTTTCAGTAAATTAAAAATGCCGCGGTTATGTACGTACCTCAACTCAAGCAAATATTAAGTTTAAATAATAATAATAAATATGTTGGGACATTAACACACAGCATCATCTAGTAACATGGTAAGCTACGAGGCTATGGAGACCAGATAGTTCATACACTACACATATCTTTAAATACATACATATTATAAATATAAACATTAAAAACCCATGACTGGAATATTAACATTCGTGCTCACCACCCAAATTTATGCCCCCAACGGGACTCGAACCCGCGACCGCTAGCACAGCAAGTAGGGTCACTACAAACTGAGCCAAACGTCGTAATTCACTGTCAAAATAATTGCTGATCCAATACAAGAACAGTTATTAGGGAATAGCTGTGAGAGGGAAAGAGAAAGAACACATGCCAGAAAGAAATTGACATTGCTTGTAATATTTTTAGAATGTTTTTTTGTTTTATATAATACTAGTGGACCCGACAGACGTTGTTCTGTCTACACGTCTTTAATTTGAAAATTTCAAACTTTTTTTAATAATTTTTTTGATGAAAATTATTATTCAAATTGTGAATCTAAACCATTCCCAGATCCCCTTGAACACACACAAAAAATTTCATCAAAATCGGTCCAGTCGTTTGAGAGAAGTTCAGTGACATACACACTCACAGAAGAATTATATATATAAAGATGGATATATCGAAACCATAGTTGTCAATACTAATTTACACTTTAAAACTAAAACACTCGTCTAACTTAATACTATACTAATATTATAAAGAGGTATAGTTCGTGAGTTTGACCTTGTAGGGGGTAATCTCCCCTGGGAGAGGAGGAGAACCCTGGGAAGGACATCATAGGATACTTTTTATCCCGGAAATCATCCCAAAAGGGGATGAAAATGGGGATGAAAGTCTGTATTGGCAAGCAAGCTAAGGACGAACCCGACCGAACGAGGGTGAGTCGCTAGTACTAACAAGTCCCTTTTACCTTTGTACCTTTGATGTAAGCCATTCATAATTACATCAATGACTTGGCAACGATATAGAAATTGGTCGAGTTACATCACAGCTAGTGTTACGTTTACAGAATATTGTGTAGAACATGAATTACTTTAATACTTTTTTACATTTACGCGAATATCTGACATCCATACTAATATTATAAATGTGAAAGTTTGTTTGTCCTTCTTTAACGTAGAAATAGAGTGACGGATTGGCGTGATTTTTTGTGTGGAAATAGAGAGAGTGACATAGGCTACTTTTTATCGCGGGAGATTATCTCATTCATACGGGAAAACGCAGTATATAAACCGTTAAAACATACCTAGGGACGAAACCGACCGAAGCGAGGGTGAGTCGCTAGTTTGAAATAAAACTGTCTTCTATACATATAATAAAATTGTAACTAAGCCGAATCTGTACATTAAATATTTTTTGGAAAATCTTATTGCAATAGACATTATTATCGATACAGAGGCCGAATCTATAGTTTTTAGAATTTTTGTCGGTCTGTCTGTTCCCGCATCGCGGAAAAACCACTGGAGGGATTTTGATGAAATTTGGTATGAAGGTAGCTGGTTATCCGGGTCGACATATAGGATACTTTTTACCGCGTGAAAATATCTCCTTTCTGAGAAAAAATACAAAAACTGCAATGTAAGAGTATACTAATATGTAAAACATAAGAATTTGGTTTTTGGTCACCTGAACGCGGGCGGAGCCGCGGGCAATGCTAGTTTTAGATATATTCGCGGATGTATTTTGATTTTTGGTTCCCGATTAGTCTCTCCCGTGACCGTAATTGCTGTGAAACATTCGAAACTACGGAAGCCCAAAATCAAATTAATCCGTGCAAAAATCCGGAAAGCCAGTTTTATTTTGACGACACGTTTGGCTCTGTTTGTAGTGACTCTACTTGCTGTGCCAGGGGTCGCGGGTTCGAGTCTCGCTGGGGGCATTCATTTGTGTGATGAACACGAATGTTTGTACTCCAGTCATGGGTGTTTATATTTATAATATGAATGTATTTAAAATAAAAATATATGTGTAGTGTATCAACTATCTGGTATCTATAACACAAGCCTCGTAGCTTACCATGGAACTAGATGGTGCTGTGTCTTAATGTCTTGACATATTTATATTATATTATATTTAAAATGAATTTCTTGTATAATATGTATATTAATGTATCTCCGTATCTCTGATAGTCTGGATAAAGTCAGGGCGGGTCGCTAGTTACACTAATATTATAGTCTACGAATTCATACAGTCGGCTAATGAAGGCGTCTAGACAGAGCAATCGTGCGGCCGCGCCAAGACAGACGCGCACCGGGTGCTCTAAACTTTCATACATACATATGCACGTACCTTTATATGACAATCGGGAAACTGCTTTGTGATCGACGGGTATAAATCTTATTATTCTTATTAAGTAATTTGTTAAAAAAATACGATTCTTATTATTAATAATACCTTTTATTTTCAAGTAAGAAAATATTCTACACTATTAATCTATACATATAATAAAACTCTGGAGTCGAATCTGTACATTAAATATTTTTTTTGGAAATTTTAATTGAAATATTCATTATTATCGAAACAGAGGCCGAATCTATAGTTTTTAGATTTATTGTCTGTCTGTCTTGGAATGAACAACTTCGGTAATTTAATTTTTATATTTAACTTTCCAAATCCTTTACTTCCGAGCTTCCCGGCTGTATTTGCGAAGTTTAGTCTATAATCTGGCTTTTACTATTTATTTATTAAAATTAAAAAAAGTGTTGTAAACAAAAAATCTTTTAAAAAAACCTGCTGAGTTTGTATGAGATATTCTCAACAGGAGCAGTTTTTATGTTCGAACGAGTTTACGTCTGGAACCACCAGTTCTATTTAAAAAAAAATAAAGTCAATTAATTGATCAAGGTTCTAGATTACCTAACACCACGTTTACCTAACATAAATAAACTGCGCGGTAGAAGCCGCGGGCTAAACTAGTAAAGTAGATCTTTAGCTGTTTGCTATAGTTAAATAACATACCTTTTGTATACAACTTGAGTCGATGTTGTACAGACGTGATGGCGCCGAGTACAGAGAGACGGTTCACACGAGATTTGATGTTGGATGCTGTGCCAAATTCATCTGCTAACATTTTGGAGACTCGGGATATTTGATCTTTCGGCGGTATTATTAGAGATATCATTGATGTACCGTTCCTGTAAAAAAAATATAAAAAAAATTATATTTAACTGAAAAGGTTATATTATACTCCCAATTACAACATTATAATACTTTCTTAGATTTACGCGAATCAACTAACTGCCTTTTCGGATGTTCTCGCCTACTTATATATATTGGTTTTAGGTACCCGACGTTTCAAATGCTTTACAATTACATGATCACGGGAAATACTATTCTGTGATCATGATTGCTATAATGATAGTTTTCATTTATAGCCAACAAACGATACACCCTCGCTTCGTTTCAGGTTCATCCCTAGACAATAACAAATCTATTCCACGGGAACCATACGTTTTTCTGGGATAAAAAGTATGTGTGCTATGTACTATTCCAGACTACAATCTATCTCTGTACCAAATTTCATCCATTGCGTCTTCACAAATTTTCACATTAATTTTATTAGTAAGGATTTATAGAATAAGATTAAAGGATATGGAACATAACACTTCCATCAGGATTGGTGAAATAAGATACAGCTTTGGCCAAAAGTATTAGGCAACCATATAAAACAATTGATAATTTAAAAAGTATTTAAAAACATTGCAGATGTTTTTAACTGTTGTCAGGCCAGTGCCACCAAACGATAATTAAAACAATAGATAGCCCTTTTCTATGGGCCAGGTAATAGAAAAAGAAATATCTAGACACATTGTCAGTCTTAATTTGCTATTACAAGTGTAAATAAGTTATCATTTGTGTTGTAGTGGTAAAATTACGTTCTAATTTTTTGAAAATGCCAAAAAAAAGTGAATTGTGTAACGAGAAACAAATAAAAAATCAGTTGTTCCATGAACAGGGGAAGTCTCAGGTAGATATTGCCAAAATTGTAAAATATTCACGGTGCGCGGTGCAATCTGCTAGTAAATGGTTTGCTGAGACTGGCTAAGACTAGTTTTCCCTTAGGAATGAAATAATCTCCCATGGTAAAAACTGGCATATGTCACTCTCAAGCCCTCAGACTATCTCCATACAAAAATTCAAGCCAATCCATCACTCTGTCTCAATGTGAAAGAAGGACAAAAAAAACAAACACATTCACATTTATAATATTAGTATAGATATAGATATAATACTTAATAATTGAGCTTTAAAAGTCAATAATACTATATTAAAAACTCTTTCAGGATCTTGTTGGTTTGGATCTTTCAAGTTATAATTAGCGACCTTGATTTCAAATTATATAATTAGCTTTAATAAAATACTTAATATTTGACTTCCTCAGTGTGGAAAAGATGCTAATTATGTCAACACTACATACTAACCAATCAAATTACATTGTTTGTTCTTTTATTTTGTGTTGCTAGGGTTTTTAACAAAGAGTATATAACATATTATTAATTATTAATCCATACTAATATTATAAATGTGAAAGTTTGTGAGGATGGATGGATGTTTGTTACTCTTATCACTCCAGAACGACTGAACAGATCTGGATGAAATTTAGCACAGAGATAGATTATAGTCTGGAATAACACATAGGTTACTTTTTATCTGGGAATATTTGTTTTTCTTTTTCACTAAGGGCAAACCTGAAGCGAGGGTCAGTCACTAGTCTTTAATATAATAAAGAAGTTGATATATTGCTATGGATGGCTAACACATAACACATTAATACCTGTTGAATAAGATTTCAACCAATCATTGCAGTATGTACAGAATATTATGTACTCTTGACAAATGTCACTAACAATGACATTTGACACACCTATATGTATAGTAAAAATTAAAAATCATCTTCCTAATTGTTTATAATTTACATTAATAGGGTTTGCTAGAAAATTGATTTGATTTCAATTCAATTAATCTAGTTAATGATCTATGTTTAATGAAAGACAGTTTACAAGGTTTCTACTTAACATTCTTATTACTCAAGATTAAATAATATATTAAAATTTTCCAGATATAAAATGTATCTATTAGTAAAATTGTATATGACAGAACATTTTTTTTATTTCAAACATATGTTTCACATTATGACTGGATACAAAAAGTTTCCATTAGGAATCGGCAATTACCGCAATAGAGTCGAGAATCGCTTGGTCATATACGTGGCTATAATAAGTGCAACCATAACAACAAATAATTGAATATAAAATCAGAACAATGGTTTCTAGACAATGCGCATTTCTAATCATAATCTTCTGAGGTTATATTCCGCGCATGCATCTCGCGCATATGACCAACGTAATGACGCAGCCTCGTTGGCAATATCGCCAATCATGTGGCGAAAAAGTTTGCGCTGTCATCAACACATGAATAAATGAAAAATTAACTCACCCTCTCGCCATTTCCAAGCTTTTGATCAACTTTTTGATCTTCCATATCTCTACGTTACGATCTGCTGACGATTCCTCGGACATTTTGGATCGGGGTAACTTATTACTGGTTGATCAAACAAAAGTTTCAATAAAACAGTAAATAAAACGTTTAAAATCAATAACACACCACTAGATAAAGGAATTCGAGGGAAAGGAGCCCGACACTTGGTTCAAACTGCTCAAATCCAGATCGAACCGGACGGACGACACCTCGCGACTTCGTTCACACACTTTCTAGTTCACATTTAACTTTACAACTCTAACTCGTACTTTTCTTCTCGTGCGGGGATTCTTGGATTTCTTCTTAATTCGGTTACCCCTAAGCATGTGGGATGCAAAAATCAGACATTAGAATATAAAAGATGACGTGAACGTGACCAAGCGATCGAACGAACGCCACCACTCGTTGTCGATCGAGGAAATGAAAGAAAAATGGTTTGTGTTGCCAGTTTTAAAAATTGTTGAAGGAAAAAAAATATACATTGTACAAGTACGTTGTAATAATACATTTTGTAAAAATAGCATTTTTATTTTAACACTACGCATGTTTTAGAAAATACATCGTTATCTTCTAATTAGTTTTACAAAAAAAGATTATTAAATGATAACCGTGTATTTATACCACACACATACCATCACCAGAGATACTTGTATTTAAACCTTTGTGCTAAGCATGAATTTGAAAGTGATTCTTGTTCAAAGTCATGATAATGTAAAAATTAAATGTTATGGGCGATTATAACCTACTAGTAAAGGATAGTCAATAGATTGCTTCTTAGCATTAAAATAACAAAAGAAAATACATAACTAATGCATTCAAAAGTTGAACTAATCTTAGAGTTTTATGTCAAGCTAACCAAAAGAGTATAGCATTTTATATCCTGAGATAAAATTTTCTTTTTACTTGGCTGAGCAATAAATATATTTTCATTGAAATCGGTTCAATGGTTTGACCTTCAAAAACTATCACAAAATGACACAGAAACTTATTGCCACATAGATAGACGTTTATTATTACAATATTTGTAAGGTCAAGAAAGTACTGTGGATGGATGGATTCGTTTGTATTTTGGATAGAATAGGAAATATAACAGTGAGTAATGTGTAGTGGCGGCTGCTAATGAAAAAAAAAAATAATATTAATAAAAATGGCAACACAAAAACTAGTGTCACAAGAATGAAGAGTGAAGACCCTTAGGTTATATTTCGCAATCAGTCGGTTCATGTCCTTTAACTTTATGTGAATTTATTAGTTATCCATGTAATAATCTATTTCAAAATGTAATACTTTTTTTATATGAAGTATTTAACATCAATGGCCGGTTACCGGTACTGATCTGTCAACATGGCGACGTTAAAATTTAAGTTTATTATAAGAGACTTAGGTATTATAAGATTTTGGAGTGCATGGACGCGTAAATGTATAGTTAGTTCGGTTGTAAAGAGGTGTATTCGAGATCGTGGCTTTAGAGAAGTGATACAAGTATTTAAATATGCAATACTTCGACCACGGCGAACTTTATTCTTAACTGCGACTGCGGCATACAAGAGCCATAATAATGATTCTTTTAGCTGCGATCAAGGGATTTCAGATGATGAACTGCAGGTGATAATTTTTCATATGATTAAATTTTTATCTCAATTCAAAAATATCTATTTTAGTTTTGACACAGACAAGATGTTTTAAATTAATTTTATTTTCAACTGGCATTGCCCGCGGCTCCGTCCGAGTTCAGATGACCAAAAACCAAATTCTTAGGTTTTACATATTACTATACTTTTATAATGCATTTTTTTGTATTTTTCCTCAGAAATGAGATATATTCCAGCAGTAAAAAGTATCCTATATGTTGACCCAGATAACCAGCTATCACCATACCAGATTTCATCAAAATCTGTCCAGTGGTTTTCTCGTGATGCAGTAACAGACAGACAAAAATTCTAAAAACTATAGATTCGGACTCTATCGATAATAATGTCTATCAATTTTATTTTCCAAAAAATATTTAATGTACAGATTTGACTTAGTTATAATTTTATTATATGTATAAAAAAAAAAATATATATATATATATTTTTTTTTTTTGTAAGTATATCTTGAATCTTGACTATTTATTGAGTCTATTATCTATTTCATAATAGGTATTTAAAAATACTTTGGTTTTTGGTAAATTACTGCACTAATCTAACTAGATAAAAGAAACTTCGTGTTTTTTTAGTAGGTATAGAGTAAATCATAGCCATGAGCGAACAAAAATCTGAAAGATAGTTTTAATAAAAAACCAGTTTATTATTTTATTAGGGATCTGTAAGATATAAATCTCGATCTCAATAATAACTCGGCAGACAATAACAGAGAGACAAATATTACTTAAATTTAGGATTCCTAAACACATAATATACAAAACTTTAAATGTCAAGTATTCAAAGTTGTATATTTAACAATTTAAAACATATTGCTTACACTAACAATTTTTTTTTTAATTTTTATCTTATCTTTGCACAACACTTACTGAAGTAATAGCTTCAAGGTTGAGGCCATTTTAAATTGAACTTGGAATATCAACTTAACCATATAGAATAGACTAGATTTTTGTTCTATTATAAGTTTATGAATAGTGTATTTTTAGGCAAGTGTAGATATCTAGATCTGAAACTATTAAGAATAACTTTGGCATGACCTTTTAGTTTTTACATGTCATCTTCGTTGTATTCAGTCCTTTTTATTAACATCCCACTGCTGGAAATAGGCCTCCTTCAATCCAAGGGGGCATCATGAAGGCCGAGGGGGCTTCAGGCCATAGTCCACCACACTGGCCATGTGTGGGCTGATCACCCTATTGAAGGGAGGCCTGCGCCCAGCAGTGGGACCTTAAAAAAGGCCGAATACATATTGATTCTACTGTTCTAAAATTAAAAACAAAAGGCTTTCTTTTCTTTAAAAAAATAAAACAATATAATTTCTTTCATAGGCACTGCTGTTGGAATTGGAAAATGTACAGAACCTCACTAAGATGACACTGTATTGTAGTGGCTGTGGATGTCGAGTTGTAATCGATAGAAAGCAAGATGGTGTTAGATATTGTATGTAAGTTGTATGAAATTGTTATTTAATTATTACAAGGGTTATCCATAGGGTTTTAGTTTATTGTACAATTACACTTGGATATGTATGTACAGACATACATACATAATTAAATTTTTATATACATACATATAGTATACTTAAACTGCTTACTTTTGTTTTCATCCTAATAAAGAAAACTGATCATACTATAATATTAACAGCTATTGGCTATACATATTACATACATCAACTTATACAAGATTAATGAAGCATTATGGAATGAATGTTATTTTAGTATAGTAATAGAGTGCATATGTTACAAACTGATATTCATTTTTCATTAATTATTATATATATATATTGGTATGACAGACAATTGACAGTGCATTTTAGTCAAATCTTATTTTTATTTCATACTAGCGAATCACCCTTGCTTCACTCGGGTTCGTCCCTAGGTTTATTCCCCATACAAACTTTCATCCTCATTTTCACCTTCTTAAGAGATCATTTAACGGGGTAAAAACTATCATATGCCCTGTCCAGAGTCATAAATCTCTATTTTCTTATCAAATTTCATCTAAATCGGTTCATTAGTTACAGAGATTAATTCCTACAAACTCACAAACTTTACCTGCCGAGGTAAGCGAGGGTGAGTCGCTAGTAAATAATACATAAATTTATCTTTTTGGAAGTTTCTTACATTTTCTTTATAAAGGGATAATATTATAAATTAAGATGATAAAAAAGGATCATATATGTGTGACACATATGACCTAAAAACAAACTGACTGCAATGTTTCCTATAAGCTCAAACACAGGCTTGGTGATTCTTCATTTAACTCAATAAAGTTTATTATTGTATATTTGTCAAAATAAAAATCCCACACTGAGATTTAACCCCTCGACCTTGCAAAGAGTATAGACTCAGATGTTCATTACATCACAATGGTTATCAAATTATTATATGCCATAAGCTTCAGTGCAAAAGTAGCCTAACCGTAATTTTTAAAATAATAATAAAAAAAATAATTTACAGTAAATTTAGTTTAAAGCTTGTTTTAATTTACAAATTATCATTTATAAATGTTATTTATACATTTAAAGTCTACAAAGAACGTAATATTTTCAGGATTTTTATTTAAGATCATTTACAGAGACAGGTCGTTAGTAGAAAAAATAAAATCGCTAGTAAGTTTTGACAAATTAATATTGCCATTAAAATATTAATAAACGCTAAACATATCAATTTATTTTTAAGATTATTTATAGTTTTATGAACAATAAGAGTATAAAAACCTCACCTATATTTGTAAATCACTAGCGGCTCGCCCTTGCTTCGCTCGGGTTTGCCTCTAGAAAAACAAAAACAAATCTATCCCACAGGAACCGTTCATTTTTCCGGGATAAAAAGTAGCCTATGCGTTATTCTGATGTATGAGCTATATTTTTGTAAAGTTTCACAAAAATCCATTCAGTAGTTTTCGCGTGAAAGAGTAACAAACATCCGTACATCCATACATCCTCACAATCGCATTTATAATAGAATTATTATAAAAAAAAAATATTTACTTAATACAAGTTATATAAAAGGAAAATTCTATAATGTAAATGGTTATTATCACGAAAATGTGGCTAGTTTTGAGGTGTTCTGAATTATTTATTATATTTTAGCTGTAAAGAACGTCAAATGGAATGCGAAGGTGCAGACGGCTGGGTGCCCTATATGGAGGCCGAAGACGTCATAATATGGCGCAAAGAGTACAAACCGGGGGGACTGTACGCTTATAAAGGTAATTTAATAGTTTTTACTGAATTTAGATGCGATATTTGTGTTTTTTTTTGTGTAAGAGGATGGATAGATAATGAATTAATAATATTTTTATATATTATTTTTGTACGCATTTTTCGCGTTTTTTCCATCCTTAATTCCTACTGAAGTAACTCTAACGCTAACTCTCTTTCACTGTAATCTATCTTTGCCATGGTAACCGTTGTTATTGGCTGACAAATTACATATAATATTATAATCTTTCCTTCTTTTCTTTCCATTGCGACCACTTTTACATAGGTGAGAGGTATTTTATCATGCACAGAAAAAAAATAGCTTTAATTTTATATATAAATGACGAATATACGCCATGAACGTATAAATGTAACAAAAACACTTTTAGTGACTCGCAAACCACTTTTGCGGCCACTTTTACATAGGCAGGCGTAGTTTATTAGGTACAGTAAAATTAGCTTTAATTTGATATATAAATGATGCATGTACGCTATGAACGAATAAACATACCAACATATGACCCGCTTACACCTGGCTGCGAAGAGGTTGCGGCCAAATGCGCAACGGCAGCTATCATTTTTCAAGATCTCTACGTATAGTTCTGTGAAGTAGAGTATAATTCATTGTAATAACAAATGCATCGTTTTTATTCCAAAAAGTCTACTATTATTTAGTTAATTAAACATACTAGCGGGCACATTTAAATAGGCACCCCGGTCAAAACATATTGTCCCTTTTATTATTGTATATAAAAAATTGATTTCGATTAAATACGCTATGAACGTAGCAATCTTGCAGTGGGATATCGATCCATACGTCATGTTTGCTGCAAAGAACGTCATAATAAAAAAAACATTGTGAAACACGAAAAAAAAACTTATAAAGTATAAATAAGTACATTTATTAATGATTGCAATTTCAAAATCTTAGAAAATAGTAATGGAGGGTTTAATATTTGAATTGAATAAGGAATTAAAAAAAAACTGTTGATTACAGTATTTACTAAAAATCAAAATAAATCCGCGAAAGAATCCGAAAAGATAGATGGATATATTTTATTTAACATGTCAAATATTCGCGTGAATCTAAGAAAGTTGAAAAAAATTCTTCTGCGAGATTAGTTTTCGTGAAAATTTTACTTATCAGCGTTTACTTTTGCGCCCGAGATATAACATGGCCGTACTTGTAATCTAACTAAAATGACCTACAATCTTATCAATTAGTAACATTGGTAGTCTTCCGCTCGGGTTACGTCCCTGCTTACGTTTTATCTTTTTCTATAGATTTCTCGGAGATGAGATATTTTCCCGCAATAAAAAGTATCCTATATGTTAACCCGGATAATCAGCTAACATCATACCAAATTTCATCAAAATCTATTCTGTGGTTTTTCCGTGACAGACAGACGTAACAGACAGATAGACAGACAGACAGACAAAAATTCTAAAAACTATAGATTCCGCCTCTGTATCGATAATAATGTCTATTTCAATAAGATTTTCCAAAAAAATAGATATATAATTGTTAAATTAATATAACTACATGTACCTACTCATTGCAACACTGTTTACTTCTAAAATATATTTTGTATAATATTTTAAAAACTTCATTTCTGTGTTTGCTGGTTTTATTTTGATTTGATCTTGCCGACGCGATATTTTGTTGTAGTTTCGCCTCAAACTTCACATGAGAGACTCGCCCGAAAAACTAGTTTCATTAGAAAAAAAAAGTTTTTAAAATATTGGCTATTTATAATATTTAATGTATGCGGCTTCAGTAACATGAATGAAGAATGATATTTTCATTACGCTATGGAGAAGCCTATTATGTTTTTCCATTTCAAATAGCAATTTGTCACCTTACTTTAGACAACACTATTTGCATTTTGCGCTGTAGCATGGTGCGGCTGACAGTTGCCTAAATGACGTTGACATCTGTCTGGTACCACATGACTAGGGATGTGACTTTATGCATTTTTATCACTAACGATACACGCAGCATAAATCTAGTTCTCATTAATAGACTAATAGTTTTATAAAAATTAATGTGTTATTCAGTTGTGCAGTGTAACTACGGGTATAAACTTGTCAATATATATATTTTATGGCTACATAATAATATCTTTGTACTTATCTATACTTATAATAAATCTGTAGAGAGGTCAATTCTGTACATGAAATATATTTCCAAAATAACTATCAGGGGGTGATTAGGGATCGATACTGATGCCAAAAATGCAATCAGTAAAATTTTTGTCTGTCTGTCTGTATAACCGTTATAGAAACAAAAACTACTCGACGGATTTTAACGAAACTTGGTATAATTATTTTTCATACTCCTGAGCTGGTTAAAGTATACTTTTCATCACGCTACAATCAATAGGAGCAGAGCAGTGAAGGGAAATGTTGGGAAAACGGGAGAAGTTACTCCATTTTTTAAGCTTCCGTCGCGTGTGCAACCTTAATGGTTAAAGCTACACAGAAATCATGTATGACGGAAATGTTCTCCTTAAAATTATATAAAAAATATCCCACGACAGCATATGTCTATCTTTTATGGTTGACTCACAATAACACGTGTAACTCCTGATAGCTTAGCAGTTCGAAGCTTTCTGATTTATATTTGTCTACTCTTACGTTTATAACACTCTCAGTCATCCCTAATTAAAAAAGGTAGTAATCAAAGCCTACTTATTAAATACATACCTAATCAAATATTTTCGAAATCGGTGCCAGCCCATACAAAGCAAAGCACACCGACTTCGAAAATATTTGATTAGGTATGTATAGTAAATGAAAACTACCAATCAGTAATTTTTTACTTTTTAGTGCTTTTGTTTGAAGTCGGTTTTTATTTTTTTGTTAAAAAGTTTTTTTAACAAAAAAATATAAAATTTATATGGCTAACGCTGTCTAATAACTATTTATAGCTATTCAAAACTTACCTAGCGACGAACCCGAGCGAAGCGAGGGTGAGCCGCTAGTATAAAATAATTAATATCGGGTTTATGATTTTTTGCTCAATGACGCATCGGCGCGGCGGCCATTTTGTTTGCTCGTTCGATGCTGTTGTTGTTACCTGTCAGTATGAATGCTAGCGCCTTGTATGTATCACGTATTTATTGCTATTTCATTGTTTGTTTTCATTTTTGTTAAATTGTTATTTGTAATAGTTTGTTGAGTTTTTTCTTTATTTGTTAAAGTTTGTTGGTTTTGTTGTTGTCGGCGACGGAAAACCTATCTTCGAGTAACGTGTGTATTAATATAGGGACAATGTCATTTTAGCGTATTATGAATAATTGTTGTAAATATGAAATCTCATTCTTATTAGATTTATTATGTTAAAATAAGTTCTAATTAGTGTAATAAGGTTAGTTTAGAGTATTTTTTGCTTATTTGAATCATATAAGACTATTTAACATTAATTTGAAAGGAATAGGTACGTAAGTAAAATGTTAGCATATAATTACGTAACTTGAAAATGAGATTTTTTGTTTCTTGCAATAGCATAATAGTTTATGTTTTAAATAATAGATTTTATTATAAAACTTATAATAAAACAAGAATTAGGTCGATAGGACTATCCGTTCAAAAGTTATAAGGGAAAATGTATAGTAAAAATGTAGCAACCTAGAAATTTAGATATTTTTGTTTTAAGACTTTTTTAATTAATTATTATATATTGAATATTATGTTTTAATATTGTATAATAGTATGTAAGGCATGTAAATAAATAAATATGTGTAAGGTGTTTTACTGAAAACATAAAATAAAAGGACTCTCAAGGTTTCGGTTTAGGGAAATTTTATTCGAAAAACGAGCTCAAAGTACGCGGCTCTCTGTAAGGTATTAACGGGCCAAATAAAAGGCGAGCCATTTCTCGATTCGAGTCAGTCGCAAGACAGCCACCGAAGAGGCAACAACTAAAAGGAAAAGGAAGAACCGAAACCAAGAGAGAAAAAAGGAAAAATTGTGTTTTATTTCATCGCCTCTAAGTATAGTCTCCTGTCAACGAAGAAACCCTAGTGGATCGGGACCCAAGCTACGCATTCAGGGGTGCGTGGTGGCGTACATTACCAGCGAACGGACATACTGCCGTGTACGCCAAGAACGTCTGGGAGATTGTCCCAGGTCGACCTCCGGGTACTAGACATACCCTGGTTCTGGTCGTCCGAAACAGTTGGTCCTTCGAGCCGGATCCCTGCTAGAAGAAGTTCAGAAGAAACAGAAGATTGCGTTCAAGATGCCGGTAACCAGGTCGCAGAAGGATGCCCCCTCACGTCCCGGGTCCCGTCCTTCAGATAGGGACGCGACAGATGGAACGTCGGGATCAGAAGGGGTCACGTCAGCGTCGGCGTCATCGGGAACTGCAACTACATCGAACACTTCTTCGGGTACCACGACCACGGAGGGCACCACAGTGACGGAGACTACGGTTACGACTGCAACTACGGCGGCGTCTATGGAAGGCAACAAAGAAGATGCTGCACAGAGGATGACCAGGAAGAGCCAAGAAGATGTACCTGGAAAGGATGTTCAAGGCTCCTCCAAGACCCTGAAACCGATGGGGGTCAGTCGTCGCGCCAGGTCCACGAAGACCACGAGTTCCTCGGCCAGAAGACGCGAGCTAGAAGCAAAGGAAGAGTTGGCACGCCTGGAGTTGAAGCAAGCACAGGCTGAAACTAAGCTAGCCCGTGTCAGATTGGAGATGGCACAGTGTGAAGAAGAGGACTCCGTGGATGAAGACCTGGAAGACAGAACAGCACAGGTGCAGAACTGGATCGAGACGTCTGTGCTGGAGGATGGCAACAAAGTTCAACCAGAGATGCGAGGTCCACACCCCTTGGAAGAGCCACAGAAGATGAAGCCTGAAGAGAACTCCTCAACGAGAGGAGCTACGATTGAAATTCAAGCACTGACGGCAGCATTGAAGGAAGCTCTTACCACGCGAGGACCAGCAGGACAGCCAACCTACATTCACGAGTTACCCTACTTCGACGGCAACAGC